ATCATCACCTCTCCACTTCATAAGCTCTGACCTGACATCCATTCCCTGCCGGATCGTTAGCCATGAACAGTATGTTGTGTCAGCGTATCAGCCTCAAAGTTACTAGAGTTAGTTTTGTTGTTTTGTACTTTTTGCTTGCCGTGTACTTACCTCCGTTTACTCTGTCTACAGTTGTTCTCCCTGAACATTCACTCCACCCTTGCCTGGTCGTCGGTGGCTTCTGTGACATCATTGGATCTGCCTATTCACTTCCACCAACTCACCCCCGCTGCCCGCTCCGTCTCCTGGATTATCCTGCTTCCACATTTGAGTTGTTAAATAAATACTCCCCTTCTCTTTACTCACCTAGTCCTGGTCTGCTTCTGGGTTCTGCTCTAGAGAATCATGACACTTTTAGACATATATGATATTGGGATTACTCTGAATATCACACATGGACATTTCTTATGGCCGGATATGGACTCATTCAATATCCTGAGATATGCGACATCCTGTTTTCTCTCTTCATGTTGACAAATAATGACTGTATACATTGCATATGTGTTTTCTCAGCACATTCAAGATATGAAGCTATATTGATTCCAGATATGCTTCTCTTGGCTGAGGTCCATATCCGGATCTTGATATGCTTTTCGATATGCTGAAAATAAGGATGATTTCTGAGTTTTCATTTGAAATTTGACAAATATGAAATCTATATTTTTCTTTCATGCACAAATCATTTTTGGATTCCCTCCGGAAGTCATACATGGTATGGCCAGATATTGACTCATTAGATATCCTGAGATAGGCCTATGTGGACATCTTATTTTCTCTATATGATGACAAATACTGACAGTAGGCCTACATAGTATATTTTCTCAGCATATACAGTGCATATGCTCTTAACTGAGGTTCATATCAGGATCTTGATATGCATTTTGATATGCTAAATAAGGAAACATTTCTGATGCTTATTTGAGTTTTGAGGACATGCTCAATAATTTGAAAAATATTAAATCCATATAATTATTTCAGACACTAGCTATAATTTTGGTATTCTCTCTGGATAAAGGCATGCACAAACCATAAGCTATAAGCACTGTAACTGGGAGCCTAGCAACAAGAATCATGAATTTTCAGCTGTGGAGTTCCAACTGTCAATTTTGAATTTGGGCGCCACAAATTAGTGTGTAAACCGTGTTTAGTCGAACTGACAACTGGAGAAACAAGGAAGTGAGAAGCTGTTCAGAAAATACCTCAAAGAAGTTAACGCTAAAGTGAGTAGCTAATTTAAGATGTTTTACTTATCTTAGTAACTAGAATCAAGAACGCTAGCTAATCTGGCCAGTAGCCAGTAGGGTAAACGCTAACTGGTAGCCTAGCTAGTAAACAAATAATGAAATTGCCTTCCCTTTGGTGAAAAGTATAAGCTAGCCAGCTAACTAACAACTTGGCTATCTAGCTAGCTTATTCCAGTTAGTTCTCATCGTGAATGAAGCAGTTAGAGTAGCTACCTTGTGGTATAGTTATGTGAAATGACAATATTTTCTTGCAATATTGACACAATTTTGATTCATGATTTATGCATTGACAGTTTGGAGTGGATCACAGACCAACACTAGCACCACGTTGGGTCTGGACTGCAAAGGACCGCCACTGACAATCCAATCTGCACCCATAACAAACAGGGCAGTCAGGGGTATTGAGGGTGTGCAACTTTTATTTTCTGTTAAATAAATAAAATACATTTTTAGCAAAGATTGGCCTATGTTCGCATCTTTACAAAAACATGTGTTGTGATTGGAGCTCTGGATTTGCTTTGCTGCATTTTAAAAACAGAAATAGCCTTGGAAATAGCAACTTGGATTAAATATGACGATGTTTGCCTTTCCGTGCCTTGTATAGCCTACTACTGAATATGGCGCAAATGTATGCTCAGATATGTCACCTTCATGTGAAGAAGCACAATGATTTTCGGCACCTGCACATGTAAAATTATTTGGCCGCTGAAGTCGGATTTAGCCCATTTTCAATCATTTACATTTACATTTACATTTACGTCATTTAGCAGACGCTCTTATCCAGAGCGACTTACAGTTAGTGCATACATTATTCTTTTTTTTTTTTTTTTTTTTCATACTGGCCCCCCGTGGGAATCAGACATATGAGGATGAATATTACATATCATGTAAGGATATCTATTGAAATTATGCATTTAAATGTAAAAAATACAGGTACATAAATTATCAGGTAATGACTACAGATATGATACATTTCTGGAAATATGTGGATTCGTAAATGCCTAAGTATAGGCTTAGATATGTCACCATGTTGACACATACCCTTTCCGGAGTTAGAATATTCTACAAATATGTAAGCAGGTGCACGCATCAGGTGAATGTCTTGAACATATCTCATCCCAGATATCTCCCTGGGCTCATATGGTAGCAGGGAGATTTCTGAGGTCCGGATTGGATGCATGTAGAAACTGTCCCTTTACGGAGAATATGCTAGCTCCGTATATGAAATTAAGGACATGCGTATCTGGAGCATGTCTACTAATTATATATAATAAAATGTCAAATATCCAGAAATATATAGATAAAGATATCCCCTTATATTGACCCTTTTCCCCCAGTGCCCTTTCATCCTCAAAAGAGTCAGAGTTAATCTTACCAAAAACTATAAACCTGTAGCTAATATTTATGTTTACTCATGAGCAAGTCTTCACTACCCAATTCTACATCTAGCTAATGTGTTTTGTGGTGGTAGAATCAGTATTTCTGAAATTCAAAATGTGCATAAATATTTCCTAGCCAATAGTAAGTGTTTGTTTGCTGGCTGAACTAATCTCAACTCAAGCCATATGAAATAAAAGGCAGGGATGCCAACAACGCCAGTTCACACACTCAATGCTGAATAATCCCTGAAGCTAGCTAGCTAGTGTAGTGAACTTCTAGCTAATGCACAAATTCGTTTTCATCATATCTGATCTGCCGTGATTAGTGCGCCGAGTTCTACAGCACAGCTGACTGCTCTATGCGATGTTATTGCGTTGGCCAAATGTTACAAAGTAGCGAGGCACAGTGGCAGCGGTCAGAGTCAGATCCATGCTAATTTCTGAGAACAGTCCCATAACTTTGGTGCCTTAAAACTTCATCAACAAGCTGGCAAACTAGCTACCATATGGCCATTCAAACAAGCTTGCACTTTGCTGCTAGCTGGAGCATGGTTTGGTTTGCCGTAGTATCCAGGGCATCTATAGCTACCGAGAGCGGAGTGATTTTCAGAATTAGGAACTAGTGTTAGGCGGATAAGCAAAATCGCGATTTTGAGATGTGTTCCACGTCCTACAAGACAGATCAGTTGAGGGACGAGCGTTGCGATCTGATGTAAGAAAATGAGTTCCTACATGATGGAGTGCTTGCTTTGTTATGTAACTGATCTTGTGTCCTTTCTGTCATCCTGTGAACCCCGTTCATTGCTGCTCGCAGTTATGTTAATGTTTTGTATTCTAATTATATTTTCTGTCAAGTCAGTTGACTGTGTGTAAAATGCAACAACTGTGTGTAAAATAGAAATAAATACAACTGCATGTTTTCACTATAAATGCCAAAAAACATTGTTCATGTCATGACAGTCCCAATAACCTGGAATGTTATAATGTGCTTTGGGGACTTTCACTACTCTATATACTAAGGTGAAAGAAATGAGTGTAAATGGAGAGACATTTGCTAAATGGCATATTATTATTATTTGTTTTAATCAATCACTCACATGTATTTGTATAACCCTTTTTGTAAAACACGTCACAGCTTTGAATTTGGCGTTTTATGGAGCTCCTTCTTGTTGTAATGACCGTCTTTCTTTTTCAGCAATCAAATATTTCTATATCAATTAGCCTAATTAAATGTAAGCAAGATGTCTTGCGTTCCTTTACATTATGTCTGCCAGTCGCACTTCACTTCTCCTTTATAGACATGAGAAAAACTATTATCATACTGCTAACAACATGGCCACATAAAGCAAACATTTTTCTCTGGAAAAAAATAATTTATTCTGTAGAAATACATATGATTTTAATTTTAAAGCCACTGGCATCCATGCTCTATTCATGTAATCAATGAATTAATCAGACCAGCTCCAAATGAATACATAGCTAAGTGAGCCAGAAACATGTCTACATTTTACAGTTGAGTAATCTATAAGTGATTACTCAACAGATGAAACACAAAGTTGCAGAATAAAAGTATGAATGGCTTTATTGATCTTTACAAGTCTAAAGCAGATGATAATATATTTCAACACAGCTGGACAGGTAACAAAACAATTATGGTCATTTGCAGGCAATAATGCATCATTAATAAAAATAAATCTAGCTCTTTTTCTTGTACAATTAACAAAAAAGTATGTGAAAGGAAAACAAAACATTAGCCACATCTGGCCAGCAGAACCAGCTCCTCAAAATGTAATATAACATAAAAGGATATCTAGCACAAGGAGATACATCATCATCACCCATGTATTCATTATATTTGTTAGAATAGACAGCCTACAGCAGGCAGAATGAACACATGAATAGCACTCAAGTGAAGATTTGAACACAAAAAATGAAAATTATTTCAAAATTGTTTTGATGGATGAATCCATTTATAACTAAATTGAGAGAATGCCTAGTACATGAAGTCAAAAGTAATATCATCATTCCTGTATGTAATGTAATTTCATAAACCAGACTGGTTTTCAATTTAACAAAAGTAAGAGGAACTATTTAAAGTATTTTCACGAAGACAACAGACAAGTTTAGGCCTACTAAATAGACAGTTCCATACATGTCCAGCATGCATGATTGATTATAGATTCATATTACAAATCTTATTTTCTTAATCATTTTAAAAGGTGAATTAAATGATAGATTTGCATCAAGAACTGGTATGAAATCATTAATATTGTTGAAACAAATAAGCTTATCAATAAAATCAGTAAAATAACTTTGGTAGCTGGTACAAAGAATAAACTCACATAAAATACTCAGGCGAGGAAGGGTTGTCACTGGTAGACCCAGTTTCATGGTAACCATTCGAACCAGTCAATTTCTCACATTTGAGTTTATATGCGTCCCTCTCGCGTGCCAGTCGGTTGAGCTCGTGCTTCAGCTGCTCTACCTGTGTGACAAGGCTGGTCTTCTCGTGCTCCAGAACGTGTTTCTGCTGAACACGTTTGTAGCGGCAAGATTGTGCATAACCACGGTTTTTCAGGGTTCGGCGCTTCTGCTTCAGACGCATCATGTCGTCCTTGGTCAGACCCCTCAAGTGCCGATTGAGCTCCCTCACTGACATGGAGACCAGCTGGTCGTCCGAGAAGGCGCTCTCCACGTTGAGTCGTCTGTCGTGGCGATTCTGCTGATGGAGGTGGTGCGCACTAAGCTGGGAGTCGGGTGAGTGCGGAGCCGAGCTGTCGAGGTCCTGCTTGTGGTGATATTGATTTTGGCAGTGCATATCTTGCATATCAGGGTGACCCGAGAGACCGTCGGGTTGACGGATAAGTCCAGGGTACTGCTGGACATGGCCGTTGAGGTTATGTGCCGCCCCGTACCCTTCGAATTCTGCTTGGAGAGCCTGTTGGTGACCGTTCGGAGTGGGTTGGTGCCCGTGGACTGTGGTACCGATAAGGGCCTCCACTGCGTCCTCAGGTGTCAGGCCAAAAGTGTGGGGATACATTTGCTGTGAATAACCTCCACTGCTGGGCGTCCAGTAAAGATCATCAGGGTTCCTTTGCTCACCCGGATTGAAACTCGGTGACGATGGCACCGAACTGCAAGGGGTGCTGACCGGGGTGGAGGAGACTGAGTCCGGTCTCTGGAGCTCGCTGCACGGCCCAATGAATGAGTGATCAATCCCCTGCATTGTCTCCTTCTTCACTTCGAACTTCATCAAGTCGAACTCACTGACATAACCCAAAGGGGTTTTCGGCAGAGCCAGATTTGTATGCGTTTCAGCGGTCATTCTTTCCTGGATCTATTTGTCTTGGCCACTTCCAAGGGGCACAAAACTCTATTCTCTCATGCAGTCTTTTGCAACAATTTCACTATTGATGAGACGTTTCATACAATTAGTAAGTCCGTCAAATTAAATATACAGTGAAAACATGCGTGCGTAAAAATGGAAAGAAAACCGTCCTCTTAATCGGATCGAAGAAAGGTGCTGGGAGTCCACGGCGGGGCCAAAAGCTCTGCATGTGTGTAGCTGTACTGGTTTATGCTTGCGAGCGCACTTTCTTCATAAAGAACCATTGCATGATGTCACACGGTATAGACTACACCTCCCTGCTCCTCTCCAATAAAAAGACCGCGAGAAGGGTAATTTGCATAATAGCTGATGTGTGCGTTTTGACAATCCAACAAAGGTTGAATGTAGAATAATGCCCAATATTTTTTTTTTTACATAGACCTGCAAAGACATATTGTAGCCTACACGTTTCACAGGCTACTGTGGCCTAATTTATTTAATTTGTGCATATGTTTCTCTTTCTCTCACACACTACCTCACCACTTGATGTATTAAAATAGTTTATTGTGAAAGACCACAAGGTAACTGATGCTGGAATGCAAAGCATCTGAGGACTAAATATGTAGTGCGTAGGCTATATGTCCAGGGATATATTGTAGTCAATAAAAATGTAGTCGCCCTAAATGACCATCTGACTTTCCATATAAATAACATAAAAATATCACAGTTTTAAAGTCACAATTATATTTGGACAATGGTCCTTATATTTAAGTAGAAGTCCATCATGCTAAAACATAATTCAAGAATTCTAATAGAGCTGTTGTGCATTTGCAATAATCCACCACCACCCATAATAAACAAATAGCCTATACTCTCTCTAAACCATGACTAGCCCACTGAAAAATACATATTTATATTCCACTTATGTGTTATTATTTGATTTCTGGTTATATTATATGGAAAAGCACAAAGGGTGGACCATAGAGTTAGAAATAGGCTAATTCTAAATAACTGTCTTTCTATGGGATTTCTCCCGAGAGTTCTGGTAGCCACATGTTATATTTATAGATCTTTGCTGACCCCTTGAGGTGATAAGAGGTAAAACGTCATTATTGACCCTCAGGGTATACTGAACAGTGAATGAAGCTAGTGTGGTGTCATTGTCTGATATCTACCCTGTCATTTTTTTCCTCCATATTTTTTTTTTGTATATTGGCTTTTTGTAATGGCTGAATGTCCAGAGCATGCACAGTAAGTAAGTATGATGATGGGTGGCTTGTGGTTTTCTCAGCACTTCACATATTGTACTTTCTTATGGCTTTCTCTCCCTCTTAAGTTTATTTGTCCATGGCAGAACTGATTCTGGTGAGAATCTGATGAGAATACCTAATCAGAAACAGAGTGTCCTCCTGATTGATGTGAGTGTTGCAGTTATTCTAAACACCATTAGGATTTACCTCCCTCTCTCTCTGCGTGTGTGTGTGTTTATGCACAACATCTATCCCACATGGTCAGAGGGTGCTGTTGGGCACTGTTTATTTGGTAAACATACTGGCTTCTAATGAAATGAGTAGTTTCTTCAGACCAGTGTCAGTAAAAGAACACGGAGAAAATGGAAAGCAGCATAAACATAAACGCAATGACCAGACTGCACAAGGCTGAAATTATGATTGCTGTAGAACAACTAAGGTATGGAAGAGAGAGAGAGAGAGAGAGAGAGAGAGAGAGAAGCTTGGCTTTCTTTACCGTTATGCTACCTGTAGAAACATACTGTGTTGAAATCCAACAAGTTCATTTCAGATAGTTCGCATATATTCTTCAGCCAACCTTCCCATAAAAATCTAACAATAATAGATACAATATATCATACAGAAATGTCATTACTGAAAATTAATTAATTAATTTGAATATTTGTCTTAATGTGCCCTTGCCTACTTGTAGTAGTTATAGCTGATTCATTGTACATTTTACTTCACTGCAAGGTTGAGGCTGCATGATGGCAAACTGATCAAGGACCAACGGTACAATCTGCGCACTTATCCCAACTGCTTTGTGGCCCAAGAGCTCACAGACTGGCTGATCAGCCACAAGGAAGCTCCTGATGGGGCAATGACGGTCTGCCTCATGCAACACCTTATGGACCATGACATTGTGCACCATGGCACTGTAGGGGAACCACACTAACATCTCAAGGGGATATAAAATGCATCGTAATAGCTTTTCCAAGAGCCTAAAGCCCTGACACAGGACCAAGTGTATATCCAACTTCTATAATACACTTCCTCCTGCATCAGGGATACCAAGAGCCAAGGAGCTTTGCCAAGATACTAACATTGATACAGGAGATCCAAAATGCTGAACTATAAAGTAGGGCAATGTGAAGACACTTTCAGGAGATGTTTATTTTGTCTCCCTTCCATTCTGATCTCTTTAGTTTGTGACAAGTGCCCTATGTTCAAGGATGCAAAATTGCTGTACCGTTTCTGTAAGGCTGATGGCACATTTCCATTTAACACCAAGGTGAAGGTCAGAGGACAACGATTGTAGGTAAACTACTTTGTTTATCCTGGGGTTCTCTATCTGGTAGGAACTGGTGCCCTTGAATAAGTCAAGCCTAGCTTAGGAAGAAGGGTAGCCACATCATCTGAATTACAGTATGTTCTCAGTATGTGCTGGTTTTGGTGATTATGGCCTGAAACATTAAACTTTACCAATTGTGTACACAAGTTTGTGTGTAACTGTTCCATTCATTCTGTCTCTGGAGTGCAAAATGGATGTGACATGTTTTGTGTGTGCGGTGTGTTTTGCAGTGTAATAACTGGCAGAGACTCCATTCTGCAACTAAGGGAGGCGCAGGGTGTTGCATACCAGCGCTCCTTCCCTAGCTGCCAGTTGATCGACTGGTTGCTACAGAATGGAGACAGAAAGCAGGCGCCAGGGTTTGGAGCTCTGCCGTGCCTTGCTGGAGAATGACATCATTCAGCCCGGTGAGAGATGTTACCTTTGGCCCATTACATTGGAGGTAATACTGGTTCCCCAGCCTCTCACAGTTGATAAACTACTCAAATTACTTCTATCATAACCAATTAGTATTATGCTTTTTGTGTTCCTCTCGTATGTATGCATGCATGCATGTATGTATGTACAGTGGGGAAAAAAAGTATTTAGTCAGCCACCAATTGTGCAAGTTCTCCCACTTAAAAAGATGAGGCCTGTAATTTTCATCATAGGTACACGTCAACTATGACAGATAAAATGAGGGAAAAAAATCCAGAAAATCACATTGTAGGATTTTTAATGAATTTATTTGCAAATTATGGTGGAAAATAAGTATTTAGTCAATAACAAAAGTTTCTCAAAACTTTGTTATATACCCTTTGTTGGCAATGACACAGGTCAAACGTTTTCTGTAAGTCTTCACAAGGTTTTCACACACTGTTGCTGGTATTTTGGCCCATTCCTCCATGCAGATCTCCTCTAGAACAGTGATGTTTTGGGGCTGTCGCTGGGCAACACGGACTTTCAACTCCCTCCAAAGATTTTCTATGGGGTTGAGATCTGGAGACTGGCTAGGCCACTCCAGGACCTTGAAATGCTTCTTACGAAGCCACTCCTTCGTTGCCCGGGCGGTGTGTTTGGGATCATTGTCATGCTGAAAGACCCAGCCACGTTTCATCTTCAATGCCCTTGCTGATGGAAGGAGGTGTTCACTCAAAATCTCACGATACATGGCCCCATTCATTCTTTCCTTTACACGGATCAGTCGTCCTGGTCCCTTTGCAGAAAAACAGCCCCAAAGCATGATGTTTCCACCCCCATGCTTCACAGTAGGTATGGTGTTCTTTGGATGCAACTCAGCATTCTTTGTCCTCCAAACACGACGAGTTGAGTTTTTACCAAAAAGTTCTATTTTGGTTTCATCTGACCATATGACATTCTCCCAATCCTCTTCTGGATCATCCAAATGCACTCTAGCAAACTTCAGACGGGCCTGGACATGTACTGGCTTAAGCAGGGGGACACGTCTGGCACTGCAGGATTTGAGTCCCTGGCGGCGTAGTGTGTTACTGATGGTAGGCTTTGTTACTTTGGTCCCAGCTCTCTGCAGGTCATTCACTAGGTCCCCCCGTGTGGTTCTGGGATTTTTGCTCACCGTTCTTGTGATCATTTTGACCCCACGGGGTGAGATCTTGCGTGGAGCCCCAGATCGAGGGAGATTATCAGTGGTCTTGTATGTCTTCCATTTCCTAATAATTGCTCCCACAGTTGATTTCTTCAAACCAAGCTGCTTACCTATTGCAGATTCAGTCTTCCCAGCCTGGTGCAGGTCTACAATTTTGTTTCTGGTGTCCTTTGACAGCTCTTTGGTCTTGGCCATAGTGGAGTTTGGAGTGTGACTGTTTGAGGTTGTGGACAGGTGTCTTTTATACTGATAACAAGTTCAAACAGGTGCCATTAATACAGGTAACGAGTGGAGGACAGAGGAGCCTCTTAAAGAAGAAGTTACAGATCTGTGAGAGCCAGAAATCTTGCTTGTTTGTAGGTGACCAAATACTTATTTTCCACCATAATTTGCAAATAAATTCATTAAAAATCCTACAATGTGATTTTCTGGATTATTTTTTCTCAATTTGTCTGGCATAGTTGACGTGTACCTATGATGAAAATTACAGGCCTCTCATCTTTTTAAGTGGGAGAACTTGCACAATTGGTGGCTGACTAAATACTTTTTTCCCCCACTGTATGTATGTATGTATGTATGTATGTATGTATGTATGTATGTATGTATGTATGTATGTATGTATGTATGTATGTATGTATGTATGTATGTAGAAAAGCACAAAGGGTGGACCATAGAGTTAGAAATAGGCTAATTCTAAATAACTGTCTTTCTATGGGATTTCTCCCTAGAGTTCTGGTAGCCAAATGTTATATTTATATATATATATATATATATACACACACATATACATATATATATACACATATACACACACACACACACATACACACACACACACACACATATACACACACACACACACACACATATACACACACTCCACAAATTTCTTGTTAACAAACTATAGTTTTGGCAAGTTGGTTATGACATCTACTTCGTGCATGACAAGTAATTTTCCAACAATTGTTTACAGACAGATGATTTCACTGTATAACAATTCCAGTGGGTCAGAAGTTTACATACACTAAGTTGATTGTGCCTTTAAACAGCTTGGAGAATTCCAGAAAATTATGTCATGGCTTTAGAAGCTTCTGATAGGCTAATTGACATCATTTGAGTCAATTGGAGGTGTACCTGTGGATGTATTTCAAGGCCTACCTTCAAACTCAGTGCCTCTTTGCTTGACATCATGGGAAAATCAAAAGAAATCAGCCAATACCTCAAAAAACAATTGTACACCTCCACAAGTCTGGTTCATCCTTGGGAGCAATTTCCAAATGCCTGAAGGTACCACGTTCATCTGTACAAACAATAGTACGCAAGTATAAACACCATGGGACCTGTAAACTTCTGACTTCAACTGTATATACAAAAGTATCTGGACACCCCTTCAAATTAGTGGATTCGGCTATGTCAGCCACACCCGTTGCTGACAGGTATATAAAATCGAGCACCAGCCATGCAATCTCCATAGAGAAACATTGGCAGTAGAATGGCCCGTACTGAAGAGCTCAGTGACTTTCAACGTGGCACCGTCATAGCATGCCACATTTCCAACAAGTCAGTTTGTCAAATGTCTGCCCTGCTAGAGCTGCCCCAGTCAACTGTAAGTGCTGTTATTGTGAAGTGGAAACGTCTAGGAGCAACAACAGCTCAGCTGCAAAGTGGTAGGCCACACAAGCTCACAGAACGTGACCACCGAGTGCTGAAGCGCGTAGCGCATACAAATTGTCTGTCCTTGGTTGCAACACTCACTACCGAGTTCCAAACTGACTCTGGAAGCAATGTCAGCACAATAACTGTTAGTCGGGAGCTTCATGAAATGGGTTTCCATGGCCGAGCAGCCGCACACAAGCCTAAGATCACCATGCGGAATGCCAAGCGTCAGCTGGAGTGGTGTAAAGCTCGGCACCATTGGACTCTGGAGCAGTGGAAACGCATTCTTTCTCTGAAGTGATGAATCACGCTTCATGCATAGTGCCAACTGTAAAGTTTGGTGGAGGCAGAATAATGGTCTGTGGCTGTTTTTCATGGTTCGGCCTAGGCCACTTAGTTCCAGTGAAGGGAAATCTTAACGCTACAGCATACAATGACATTCTAGACGATTCTGTGCTTCCGACTTTGTGGCAACAGTTTGGGGAAGGCCCTTTCCTGACAATGCCCCCGTGCACAAAGCGAGGTCCATACAAATATGGTTTGTCGAGATCATTGTAGAATAACTTGACTGGCCTGCACAGAGCCCTGACCTCAACCCCATCGAACACCTTTGGGATGAATTGGAACGCCGACTGCGAGCCAGGCATAATCGCCCAAAATCAGTGCCCGACCTCACTAATGCTCGTGGCTGAATGGAAGCAAGTCCCCGCATCTAGTGGAAAGCCTTCCCAGAAGAGTGGAGGCTGTTATAGCAGCAAAGGGGGTGCCAACTCCATATTAATGCCCATAATTTTGGAATGAGATGTTCGACGAGCAGGTGTCCACATAATTTTGGTCATGTATAGTCTATGCAATAGTCTATGTGCAGGGGGCTAGGGTCAGCCTTTTATATCTGGTGTAATTATCCTGTCTTATCTGGTGTCCTGTGTGAATTTAAGTATGCTCCCTCTAATTCTCTCTCTCCCTCCCCTCCCAGAGGACCTGAGCCCTGAGATCATGCCTCAGGACTACCTGGCCTGATGACTCCTGGCTGACCCCAGTCCACCTGGTCGTGCTGCTTCTCCAGTTTCAACTGTTCTGCCTGCGGCTAGGGAACCCTGACCTGTTCACCGGACGTGCTACCTTGTCCCGGACCTGCTGTTTTCGACTCTCTCTCTACCTCTGAATGCTCGGCTACTTCTACATCTGCATTGCTTGCTGTTTGGGGTTTTTGTATAGCACTTTGTGACATCTGCTGATGTAAAAAGGGCTTTATAAATACATTTCATTGATTGATGTAGTGTATATATTTCTTTGCACGCTCTCTCTCTCCTTCCCAATTCCCATATACCCTTAGTGGCAAAGAAGTACAACTTATTTGACAATGGATTACTGAATCAGTTCTGCATACATTTTGTCTGAGATCTTGAATGAAACTGAGCGAGAGAAAAAGGAAGGTGTATCAGTGCCGGCACAGGAGGACAACCATGCCAACAGCCCCTTTGTCCTGAACAAGATCGCCCAACAAGAGGACTTCAATCTGGTAAATGCAAACATAAAAACAAAGCAAGAGCACTAAAATACAAGAGCACTATACTGTTTTATAAACTGGGTGGTTCGAACCGTATACCACAGATATGACAAAACATTTAATTTTACTGCTCTAATTACGATGGTAACCAGTTTATAATAGCAATAAAGCAGCTCGGGGGGTTGTGGTATATGGCCAATATACCACGGCTAAGGGCTGTGTCCAGGCACTTTGCTTTGCGTTGTGCCTAAGAACAGCCCTTAGCCGTGGTATATTGGCCATATACCACACCCATTCGAGCCTTATTGCTTAAGTAACAAGGGATGAGCTGTACAGCATACAGTGCATTCGGAAAGTATTCAGACCCCTTCACGTTTTCCACATTTTGTTACGTTACAGCCTTATTCTAAAATGGATTGAATAGTCCCCCCCCCCCATCAATCTACACAATATACCCCATAATGACGAAGCAAAAACAGCTTTTTATAAATGTTTGCATATTTATTAGAAACAAAAAATGGAAATATGACATTTACATAAATATTACTCAGTACTTTTTTGAATCAGCATTGGCAGCAATTACAGCCTCAAGTCTTCTTGGGTATGAAGCTACAAGTTTGGCACACCTGTACTTGGGGATCTTCTCCTATTCTTCTCTGCAGATCCTCTCAAGCTCTGTCAGGTTGGATGGGGAGCGTCACGGCACAGCTATTTTCAGGTCTCTCCAGATATGTTAGATCGGGTTCAAGTCCGGGCTCTGGCTGGGCCACTCAAGGACATTCAGAGACTTGTCCTGAAGCCACTCCTGCGTTGTCTTGACTGTGTGCTTATGGTAGTTGTCCTGTTGGAAGGTGAACCTTCGCCCCAGTCTGAGGTCCTGAGCGCTCTGGAGCAGGTTTTCATCAAGGATCTCTCTGTACTTTGCTCCGTTCATCTTTCCCTCGATCCTGACTAGTCTCCCAGTCACTGCCGCTGAAAAACATCCCCACAGCATGATGCTGCCACCACCATACTTCACCGTAGGGATGGTGCCAGGTTTCCTCCAGACATGAAGCTTGGCATTCAGGCGAAAGAGTTCAATCTTGGTTTCATCAGTCCAGAGAATCTTGTTTCTCATCGTCTGAGAGTCTTTAGGTGCCTTTTGGCAAACTCCAAGCGGGCTGTCATGTGCCTTTTACTGAGGAGTGGCTTCCGTCTGGCCACTCTACCATAAAGGCCTGATTGGTGGAGTGCTGCAGAGATGGTTGTCCTTCTGGAAGGTTCTCCCATCCACAGAGGAATTCTGTAGCTCTGTCAGAGTGAACATCGGGTTCTTGGTCACCTCCCTGACCAAGGCCCTTCTCCCCCGATTACTCAGTTTGGCCGGGCGGCCAGCTCTAGGAAGAGTCTTGGTGGTTCCAAACTTCTTCCCTTTAAGAATGATAGAGGCCACTGTGTTCTTGGGGACCTTCAATCCTGCAGAAATGTTTTGGTACCCTTCCCCAGATCTGTGCTTCGACACAATCCTGTCTCGGGGCTCTACGGAGAATTCCTTCCGGCCTCATGGCTTGGTTTTTGCTCTGACAAGCACTGTCAACTGGGAGACCTTATATAGACAGTTGTGTGCCTTTCCAAATCATGTCCAATCAATTGAATTTACCACAGGTGGACTCCAATCAAGTTGTAGAAACATCTCAAGGATGATCAATGGAAACAGGATGCACCTGAGCTCAATTTTGAGTTTTTAAATTTGCAAAAATTTATAAAAACCTGTTTTCGCTTTGTCATTATGGGGTATTGTGTGTAGCTTGATGAGGATGTATTTGTTTTAAATACATTTGAGAATAAGGCTGTAACGTAACAAAATGTGGAAAAAGTCAAGGGATCTGAATACTTTCCAAATGCACTGTATGCAATTATGCATACATGCATTTATGTCTGACCTCTCATAGCAGTGCAGCACAATAAGCCATTGAAGATGATACCCAATGTGTCGTGACAGTTGGAACTCCCTGCAGCTACATTCTAGTGGATATTTACCCCCTGCCACACTCTCCTCTGCCCCAGTGGTGAGATGTAATCCAAAATCAGATCATCCCTCTGTTCTTCTTTGACATATTTTTTTTCTTTTCAGGCTTACATGTAGTCTACTTGAGCAGTTAGTTTTTTATGAAGGCCATTAGTGCCAAAAAATGTTTTAACCGAAAAGTAAATAATAATATTGAGCAATAACGTCTTCTTTTTTGGACCTTCTGCAGCGTCTCAAATCCAAAATACTGGAGTATAGAGCCAAATTAAAAGTTGTAGCTTCACTGTCCAAATGAATACGTAGGGGAGTGTATGACCTTCTTTTTCTAGTCTTGTCTCTATTGGGGGAAATAAATGTCTCTAGTCCCCTCATAACAGTGTTTTGCATCTCAGGTGATGGGAGATGCAGTTGGCTGGGGCTTTGTGGTCAGAGGTATGGCCCCAGTTTACATCCAGGCAGTCGATCCTGTAAGCCCTGCTGTTGCTGCAGGGGATAAGGTAACACAAACAAACATAGTGTCACACACAGTAATATATGAATATGTAGCGCACCGCTAACTAGCTAGCCATTTCACACCGGTTACACCTACAGTGGGGAAAAAAAGTATTTAGTCAGCCACCAATTGTGCAAGTTCTCCCACTTAAAAAGATGAGAGGGGTCTGTAATTTTCATCATAGGTACACGTCAACTACGACAGACAAAATGAGAAAGGAAAATCCAGAAAATCACATTGTAGGATTTTTAATGAATTTATTTGCAAATTATGGTGGAAAATAAGTATTTGGTCAATAACAAAAGTTTCTCAATACTTTGTTATATACCCTTTGTTGGCAATGACACAGGTCAAACGTTTTCTGTAAGTCTTCACAAGGTTTTCACACACTGTTGCTGGTATTTTGGCACATTCCTCCATGCAGATCTCCTCTAGAGCAGTGATGTTTTGGGGCTGTCGCTGGGCAACACGGACTTTCAACTCCCTCCAAAGATTTTCTATGGGGTTGAGATCTGGAGACTGGCTAGGCCACTCCAGGACCTTGAAATGCTTCTTACGAAGCCACTCCTTCGTTGCCCGGGCGGTGTGTTTGGGATCATTGTCATGCTGAAAGACCCAGCCACGTTTCATCTTCAATGCCCTTGCTGATGGAAGGAGGTTTTCACTCAAAATCTCACAATACATGGCCCCATTCATTCTTTCCTTTACACGGATCAGTCGTCCTGGTCCCTTTGCAGAAAAACAGCCCCAAAGCATGATGTTTCCACCCCCATGCTTCACAGTAGGTATGGTGTTCTTTGGATGCAACTCAGCATTCTTTGTCCTCCAAACACGACAAGTTGAGTTTTTACCATAAAGTTATATTTTGGTTTCATCTGACCATATGACATTCTCCCAATCCTCTTCTGGATCATCCAAATGCACTCTAGCAAACTTCAGACGGGCCTGGACATGTACTGGCTTAAGCAGGGGGACACGTCTGGGACTGCAGGATTTGAGTCCCTGGCGGCGTAGTGTGTTACTGATGGTAGGCTTTGTTACTTTGGTCCCAGCTCTCTGCAGGTCATTCACTAGGTCCCCCTGTGTGGTTCTGGGATTTTTGCTCACCGTTCTTGTGATCATTTTGACCCCACGGGGTGAGAACTTGCGTGGAGCCCCAGATCGAGGGAGATTATCAGTGGTCTTGTATGTCTTCCATTTCCTAATAATTGCTCCCACAGTTGATTTCTTCAAACCAAGCTGCTTACCTATTGCAGATTCAGTCTTCCCAGCCTGGTGCAGGTCTACAATTTTGTTTCTGGTGTCCTTTGACAGCTCTTTGGTCTTGGCCATAGTGGAGTTTGGAGTGTGACTGTTTGAGGTTGTGGACAGGTGTCTTTTATACTGATAACAAGTTCAAACAAGTGCCATTAATACAGGTAACGAGTGGAGGACAGAGGAGCCTCTTAAAGAAGAAGTTACAGGTCTGTGAGAGCCAGAAATCTTGCTTGTTTGTAGGTGACCAAATACTTATTTTCCACCATAATTTGCAAATAAATTCATTAAAAATCCTACAATGTGATTTTCTGGATTTTCCTTTCTCATTTTGTCTGTCGTAGTTGACGTGTACCTATGATGAAAATTACAGACCCCTCTCATCTTTTTAAGTGGGAGAACTTGCACAATTGGTGGCTGACTAAATACTTTTTTCCCCCACTGTATGTGCGTCAGGTGAATGGGCAAAGCATTCTTCACCTGACAAAGGGGCAAAGCATTCTTCACTGCCAGGTCACCAGGCTGGTGATGACCGGACCTCGCACTGTTGTGTTGGAAGTCATGGAACCACTGGGGTGACCTGAAGTACCTTCAAAATTCTCCAAAACCTGCCTCTGAAATCTCCTGAACTAGCTAAACTATTGTGTGCTGTGTGCCAAAGGGGCACGGTGTGGTATGGACATGTGTACAAATGTATCTGTAAGCTATATATTGATCTGTAAGATACTACTTCCAATTTCGTGGGAGTCTCTTGAAATAAAAAGTATCCCAGTGCATGGCTTTGTTGTTGAGCATCCATGCTGTAGATTGTTAGTTAAATAGTATTTGCCTATTCATGATGGTAGCTACAGTTGCTAGCCTTGAGAAAAATTGGCAAAACTAAGTGCCTGCCAAAACTATATCACAAGGTCAGGGTGCAGTAGCCTAGTCAAATATTTTTTTATAACTAGCTCATTGTTCTGTCTGTGGCCTACTCTTCTATGGGCCCACGTGTCGTGGATTAGGTGGGTGGGTCCAGTCGAAGTAAAAAATATATAATGCTCTTGGACCACTTTCCTTGATTTTACACCCAAGAAAGATTGGTGTGACAATTAGATACTCAGTATTAAGGGAAGTACGTATCTCAGAATTTTTTTGTTGTAAATTATTGTAAAACTTCTCTCCCCAAACATTCACTTCCGTCTTTTCATCCTCGCCATTTTGGATTGACTTGGCTCGGGTTAGTTGGGAACGTTCAAGAGAAGTACTGGTGATTGTCGGAGTCTATTGTAACAGTCCAATTTGCCATGTATGCTGTAAAATATGCACTAGTAATCCATCCCACATATTTTGGCTATTAGCTAGCAATTCATGTAACGTATATTTTAGATGGCACAGACATTCCGCTAGCCAACTAAGCAGCACCACCGGCTTGGCGAGGACGAACAACAACCGCATCATTGAGTTTGGATTCATTTGTTAGCCAACGAGCTACTGTTACTAGCTAGCATATCTCAGCAAACCATTTGGGCTGCCAGTTTTTGTGTGGTTGGGTACGGAGACATACCAGGTAAGATTGGTTGGAGTTGAGGCGTAACATTTTGTATAACTACTTATCTAGCTAGTTACGGCGGCAAGTGAGGCAACTAACGTTAACTACTAGCTATCATCGACTAGCTAGTTTGTTCGGCTAGACGTTGGCTAACTACTGCATGCTAGCCAATTCGCTTTCTGCTAAACTGACGCCAGCTAACAAGTAAATTAGCTAACTAGTTAGCATCTTGTGTATTTTCTTCACCTCACTCAGTTCATAATGACTACTAACATTAAACATTTAAGCTAACGTTAGCTAGATAACCAACCGTTGACAAAGGCTTTAACTAACCATCGGAGATCTAAGAAACGTTAGCTAAGTTTGCTAACGCGTTAGGCCCATAAATTAAGAGCAAAAAGCGAATCTAAGGTTAGTCATAAGGTTAGCAATGTGGTAACATTTTCTAAGATAAATTGTAGAAATGGGCGGAGTTCATGATTGTGGCAAGTAGTGACGGCCCATAGCTACATAAAGACGTTTCAACTGTACAGGAAGCAAATAGATAAATAATGTTGTGCCAGAACTGAAGTCCCATCACTTCTGTGCCAATCAATTGTTTGATTTAGCTATGATCTTCGAATGCAAATAATCTTAAAACGTTATTGCCAAGTACCTCAACTCCACGATGATTTAATCTACTGAGTTGAGTGTAGACTAGCATTTTTTTTTACATTACCCTCGAACTCATTCGACTCGCTATGCAGTCGATACTTAAAACATTTACATTCTGAAACCCTTACCGTTTACCAATGTTTGTCCTCTGCGTGCATTTGTTTGCTGAAATCCATACTTTTTAATTAAGCATTAATCAAATAGTTACAACCACCGACTGTTTCTTAATTGGTAGAGCATGGCGCTTGTAACGCCATGGTAGTGGGTTCGATCCCAGGGACCACCCATACCAAAAATAAAATTTAAAAAAAGTATGCACGCATGACTAAGTCGCTTTGGATAAAAGCGTCTGCTAAATGGCATATTATTATTATAATTGCTGTTGCTCTAAGATGACAATTCAGCGCCAATGCGCATGTTCCAATTGAATTTCAACAAGGAAACTGTTGTATTTGATTAACGTTTTATAAAAAAAAAAGTTTCAGCAAACAGACAGGCAACATCAGATAATAAACTGGTACAAGGTAACATGCTGACCATACCGGGCGCGATCGTTGCAGGTTGAAATATCAAAACGAACTCTGAACCAACTATATTAACTTGGGGACAGGTTGAAAAGCATTAAACATTTATGGCAATTTAGCTAGCTTGCTGTTGCTAGCTAATTTGTCCTGAGATATAAACATTGGGTTGTTATTTTACCTGAAAGGCACAAGGTCCTCTACACCAACAATTAATCCACAGATAAAATGGTAAACCAAGTTCAGGCTTCTTATTCTTTGGACTTTATATGTCGGTTGGCAACCAACTTTAAGATGCATTACCACCACCAACTGGACTGGAGTGTGGACCTCAGTTCATCTTTCAATCACCCACATGGGTATATGCTCCTAAAAACCAATGAGGAGATGGGAGAGGCAGGACTTGCGCGACCAAGTTCTATTTTAGCGCCTGGCCACGCAGACGCGCAAGCCGTGTGGGTGCAATGATTGAATAACGTGTACATTTATTTTGCCACGCTCGCGACGCGTCCGTTCTGGTCAGCATGTATAATAGAACTTGGTTCTATTTGTGATACTCGATGCCCTGCAAGTCCTGCCTCTCCCATCTCCTCATTGGTTTTTAGGAGCATATACCAACGTGGGGGATTGAAAGATGAACTGAGGTCCACACTCCAGTCTAGTTGGTGGTTGTAATGCATCTTAAAGTTGGTTGCCAACCGACATTTAAAGTCAGAAGAAGCCTGAAGGAATTCTGAACTTGGTTTACCGTTTTCTCTGTGGATTAATTGTTGGAGTAGATGACCTTGTGCATTTCAGGTCAAATAACAACCCAATGTTTATATCCCAGGACAAATTAGCTAGCAACAGCAAGCTAGCTAGCTAAATTGCCATAAATGTTTAATGCTTTTCGACCTGTCCCCAAGTTAATATAGTTGGTTCAGAGTTCGTTTTGATATTTCAACCTGCATGTCCTGATCGTGTCTGGTGTGGGAGGAAAAAATCAACATGCGCGCAATGGCGGTCTGGTCAGCATGTAAGGGTTTAAGAATACATTTTTTAAAAAGTAATGACTGCATAGCGACTCGGAGTCAAGAGGTTCATTAAAAAAACTAGTCTGAGCTCAACTCTGTGGATAAAATCACCATGGAGATGTGGTACTTGGCTAACTTTGCGTATGAGCAGGCCATATAGGTTTGACATGAGTAGTAATATAATTCTCCCTGATTTATTCTTCTTGCAGTCTGGAAAGATGTATCAACTCCCTGTGAACAACCTCACTAGGATACGAAGAGCAAGGAAACAGGTGAAGGCAGCACTTAGTGACATTGGACTGGAGTACTGTAAGGAGCAAGCGGAGGTGAGCTTAAATGTTTATTTTTCATAGCTTTTACCTATCACTAAGGTTTTAGTATAGGTGTGTCTGTGCCTTCCGTGAGTGTTTCACTCATATTTTTGTAGTCACTTGTGCTCCCGAAAAAATTGTGGTTGTAGAAATGAATAGGCATATAATCCAATTTGACACGATCCAGCATACAGTACTGTGATTTCTGATCAGAATCCTTGTCTCTCTCACATAGGACCTCAAAGAATTTTGCCCAGATGAGAACTATGTGAAGAATACTGTCTGCCTGGAACTTTGTTCATGGGATCCGTCATTCTCAAAAACACAGGTAAATCACTCACACTAGACAATGGACAAGATTGTTCATTAAATTACCCCTTATTCTGGGGCTTGTAATGATTATAGTGCTTCATCTTTGTTTGTCACAATCATAAATAAAACTAGTTTTGGATGAAGGAGCAACCATTTCAATTTTCTAAATGTTGTGATTACAAAGTTAGAAAAATGAAAACAACATTTTTAGGTGCAGTGTCACATTTTCAAACTCTCCTGTTTATTTGTGTGTGTTTTACAGGAGTACCGGTCAAAACCTTTCTGCTGCACAGAGTGCAACTTCTCTTCCAAGTACTACTCGGGCTACAAGAACCACTTCCGAAATGTCCACAGGCACAACTTTGAGAACCGCATCCTGCTCAACTGCCCTTACTGCACCTTCACTGCGAGCAAGAAGACTATGGAAACGCATGTCAAGGTCTTCCACATATCTAGTGTGGCACGTCAGGGTCTAGGGGGCTACCAGGGGGCTGCTGTGGGGGCAAATAACAAGGTGGAGAAGGCAATGTACTATTGCAAGAAGTGTAACTACCGTGACCCTCTGTACAATGTTGTGCGAAGGCACATCTACAGGGAGCACTTCCAGCATGTGGTCTCACCCTATGTTGCCATGGTCTCAGGAACATCAGTCAAAAATGGAGCCAATGCTGTCACCGGCAACAACATCCTCTGTAAGCGCTGTCAGTTCTCTACCCGTAGCTATGAGGCCCTAGTGCAGCATGTCATTGAATATCATGAGCGCATTGGCTCTCAGGTGACAACCATGATTGGACATGCTAATGTTGTGGTGTCCAGACCGCAAAGCTATGGGATGGCCCAGAAGGGCTCTGCGATGACCGGGGGTCGTACCCTGACATCTGAACAGGTTAGCCATATGGTGGGGGTCCATCTAAAGCAAGGGCCTACTGGACTAAAGAATATGACAAGTCAGTCCTCTATTGCTGGCCAGCGTTTGACCATTCCTGGCAATGGTGGTTTGGGAGAAGGTGCTAATGCTAGTCTTACATCCCAAACACAGAAGTGGAAAATGTGCACGGTCTGCAATGAGCTCTTCCCTGAAAACCTGTACAGTGCTCATTTTGAGAAGGCACACAAGGCTAAGAAGGTATGGGCAATTGCCAAGTATATCATGAAGATCCACAACTTCACCAGTAAGTGTTTGCTTTGCAACCGATATCTGCCCAGTGACACATTGCTTAACCACATGCTGATCCATGGGCTCACCTGCCCACAGTGTCATGCCAGCTTCAATAATGTGGAGAAAATGCTAGATCATATGGGGCAGGCTCATCCAGATGACTTTGTTGGTCCTCCAGCCGCCTCCCCGCTTACCTTTGACCTCACGATTGGGCAGGCTAAGAACAAGATCATACAGCTTACTGTTATAACCTATAACATGAAGGAACCTGTAGCTGCTCAGGAGCAGTCTATGGCTTCCCATGCCCAGAACAGCTTCCACGCTCCAGAGAAGAGTCTGCCTTCAAAGATGCCAGTGAATAAGAATGACATGCTTGCCAGAAGTCAAGCCACTGTATCTGGCAGCAATGAGGTTGGCAAGACCCTATGCCCACTGTGTTTCACCATCCTCAAGGGTCCTATATCTGATGCCTTGTCACAGCATCTGAGGGAACGACACCAAGTGCTTCAGACGATGCACCCTGTGGAAAAGAAGATGACGTACAAGTGCATCCACTGTTTGGGTGTCTACACCAGCAACATGGTGGCCTCCACGATCACTCTGCACCTTGTGCAGTGCCGAGCTGTGGGCAGGGCCCAAAAGGACCCGGGACCAAAGTCTGCCTTGACACTCAACTCTTCTGGTGCAGGGTTCTTAAAGCGTCAGCTACCCACCCAACCCATGTCTGGCTCCAAGAGGATGAAGATGAACAATGATGTTGTATATTCCCCCATGAATATGGACAAGCCAGGGGAGGCTGTGGATCTAGTGTTGGACCCCAGGAACTATGAGCACAAGACTTATGAAGCACGAAAAACCTTCCTCACGGCCTATTTCAATCGTCGCCCCTATTTAACTTCACAGGAAGAAGAGAAGCTGTCTGCAAGCCTGTGGCTCTGGAAGTCCGACATTGCCAGTCACTTCGCTAATCGACGGAGGTCATGTGAGGGAGACTGTGAGACCAGGAAATTGAAAGTGCTACTTGGCTTTGACATGCAGGCACTCAAGGGACTGAAGCATGACATGGACTTTGAAGAGAAAACCAAGCTCCCCATCACCTCAGTGGAGAAGGCCTTTAAGTCTAGGCCGGCACTTAACACAGACCAAAGCAAGCAATGCGAGACAATTAACTGTACCCTCAAGGTAAGTACTTACACAGAACCCATATCTATTGACTCGTCTGATAGTGAGTCAGAACCAGAGGACTGTTCCATTGAGAATGGGCAAGTTGACACACCAAAATCTGTGGATGTCACATCTTAAGGGAAATCAAACCTGCCAGAAGAGAGATCTCCAAGCATTGAGGGGCCTAAAATAGAGGAGATGGGCACTTATCAAGATGGGAGATCAAAAGCCTGAATTACCTTCTGTTAGTCTACTACAGACTCTAGGCCTAAATAAGGTGCCTTGGTTTGGTAACATGATCCATCAAAATGAGAGCAGCCTAAAAGACCTGCGGTACAGGGGAAGTATAAGGAGGGTTTGGTGCAGGTAATCCTTACACTCCGCAGTTCTTCGGTTATAGGAAAGTCTGGGAAGGTAGGCGAGACTGACAAGACAAATTAAGACTTCATAAAGTCAGTGGGATGCTCAGTTTAAGTAATGAAAAATGACTAATTCATAAATTCTGAACTATACAAGTATAGAAACAAACTGTTATAACTTCTGTCTCCAGATAAAGGTATGCTGAAATGGTGCAAAAGAAAATGTATGGTGTCTGTAACTAATATTGGTGGTAACATTGTACATATTTAGTAGGCCTACATTACATTATGCATACATTTAGACTGTCTGTCAGTTTTAAGTGAAATTCAAAAACGTTCACTTCATATAGGCATATGAATTGTCCTCCCATATGATGTATTGTCATTTCAATTTTAGAGATAGCAGGGTAACATGTATACATACATATGTTAACTTTTGTTTAAATAAAGAAATTGGTTTAATAAAGCTTTTTTCAAAGAACCTTCATTCGACTAACTCCATTATACAAATATACTCCATTGTAATAAAACAATATATATTTAGATAAATATTTATACTAGAGGTGATACTCCAAAATCTTTGGGGGAACACATTGACATAAATATCTGAACACACGGAAAATCTGCCCTGTGACACTGAACACGATCTCAACTTCTGTTGTGTCTTTGATTGGTGGTTCATTTTGTGAGAAGGCGGGATATCCGATCTACATGACAAAACTGGCCAATTGTCAATGTGCATTATTGGCCTTCTCGCTGCTTCAAATATGTCGTTATTTTATTTGCTTTTATGCACAAAAAGGAATTTACCTTTAAAAAAATCCATACCTCTATCTTGAAAGGTACTTCAGTCTTATTTGCAATTGTAAGTATGACAGACCATGGCATTTTTAAGGATTGGGTTAGAAAATATTGCTATGGAGATGGGAAGCTTGTACAGCGTCAGTGAGTGTAAAAGCAGCTGTCATGTGTATAGCTAGCTAGTGGCGATGCTAATTTGCTAGTTACGTATACATACATGCATACATACTACTTATTTTATGAATACCGTATTGAGAAATTGCTGCTTGGTTGTCACTTTTACCCTAGGTGACATTAACTTGATCTCAATATGTTTGTTTTTGAGCTTTGAAATCCATTTATATTGCAGTAGCGCAGCATTAAAGCAAACACATTTTGACCATTTGTTATACACTCTTGTCAAACGTGCCATAGTGTAAAACAGTAGCTATATTAGCTGTTTCGCTGTATCTAGCCAAATAAGTGCATTGTTCGGTGGAAATTAATATTATGGTTATAGCTTTAGATAGCCAAGACCGATAGCTTGCTACCTGACATCAAAGCGGCGCCCCAATGGTATTGCGTAATACGTTTCATACAGTATGTGTCAGAGTAACTAAAATCATTTCTACCATACCCAACAGACCTGGGTTTAGCAGTGCAGTATTTCAAGGTGAATGTGATGCTGCTGGGGAAGAGTTCCATTCTTAATAACAATGAACAATAGAATCCAGTGTTTTCATGTGTTCTGCATCTGGGAATTTGTGTGTGAGTGTGTTTTTTTCTTCCAGGGTGTGATAACTTGTTGCAGCCCAGAGGAAACTGCCAGACAGCAAGCCTTCATTCCAGACATCCCAGTTACAGTGTGAGGTATGGCAGGAGAGCCCTGGGAATCCAAATAGAGTGAAGAGTCAATGGATAAAGAGGGTGCATAGAAGGTGGAAAATATGTCTTACAGTAACAGGGAACTGGTAGTGTTTTTTATAAGCTATAGACTGTCCCAGAGGAATTATTCATTTTGTCAATTGGGGCTGGAGGGTGTAAGTGGACGGACTGAGGGAGATGAGGCCATTGCAAATGGGTCTGTGGGGAACAACAGGAACAGCAGAAGCAATTTAGGGAAGCCCTCATCTCCACTGGGGGGAATTGAGGCAGTGAAAGCAGCACTACGGGACTCAGCGGATGAGTTTGAGCTGCGCTACACCAGAGCCTTCAGTGACCTCGCCTCCCAACTCCACATCACCCCTGCCACAGCCTACCACAGCTTTGAGAGCGTGATGGACGAAGTGTTCAGGGACGGGGTCAACTGGGGCCGCGTGGTGGGCCTATTTGCTTTTGGCGGGGCCCTGTGTGTTGAATGTGTTGAGAAGGATATGAGCCCCCTGGTGGCACGCATCGCAGACTGGATGACCACCTACCTGGACAACCATATCCAGCCCTGGATCCAGAGCCAAGGAGGATGGGTAGGTTGGAGCTGATATTTTACATCTGCACATTATACAACCTTGTTATGGGATTTAGTAATACATTCTCATTGTGTGTGTGCATCCTTTGCTGCACCCACTCTGAGAAATAGAGAATACTATGATAGACTACCCTAAAGGGAGAAGCTACAGAGGGGTATTGGGGCACAGAGATGGGGGCTGCTAACACATAGTTCACTGTATTAATCTTCCTCTGTCTCTGTTCCCTGACAGGACCGTTTTGCAGAGATCTTTGGCAGAGATGCTGCTGCAGATGTCCGACGGTCCCAGGAGAGCGTAATAAAATGGCTGCTAGTTGGGGTGATTCTGTTTTCAGGAGTGCTGGTCGGCACTCTCATCATGAAGAAACGCCAGTGAAGTGGTGTAATACGAGCCACATCTAGTTTACCCCCAGCACATATAAATGCTAAATCAACAAAAATAGAACTTAATAGTTTATGTTTACATAAGACCAGTCTGCTTGTGCACTGACAGAAACCTGATGATTAGCCCTGGCTATAACAGTTTTTGGGCAATCAATATGTAGGCTTGGTGAGCTGTCTCACTTCTCACCTCTCCTGTCCTGCGCTCTGTAACATTTGTTTTTACGTTTGAAAAGTAATACGTAAAATAACATTTTATGACATTATTTTCTTACTATTATAATTATTATTGGTTTAATTTTTTTACTTGGATAGAGGGTGTTGCATTTGATACTGGAGGGGCTTTAAATGGACCTGAAGCTAAGCGTGAGTGGGAAAAATACAGCTGGTGTGGTAGGACATAGGAGTTTGTTTACGTGTTTTTAGGTTTGTGTGTTACCCTTTATACCCTATTACCAACTACATACATTGTTTCCAAATTGACATTTGACCAATTATATTGAAGATTGTAAAGTATTGTTTTTATTTTGTTTGCTCCAAGATGTTAAAGGCCCAATGCAGCTGTTTTTATCTTAATATCAAATCATTTCTGGGTAACAACAAGTACCTTACTGTGATTGTTTTCAATTAAAATGGTCAAAAATAAACAAAAACTATTCCTTAGCAAGAGCAATTTCTCAAGCAAGAATATAGCTAGGACTCTCTGGGAGTGGTCTGAGTGGGGAGGGGGAAACACCTCTCACTAAAAGGGCATTATCATAATTTTCACAATTTCACAGTATTCTATCAATCTCTTGGTTTGGAAATATAATATATAAAACACAGGAAAATCACGTTTTTGACTGCATTGGGCCTTTCACTGAAACCTCTGTTTCCATGTGACAATTTATTTAAAATGTTCAGTTCCTTCCTTGCTGTACTGGAGTTTCAGGCATGCACTAAATAATAAAACATACTTATGTTTTAAGTGTTTGTTTTCTATGCAATTCACGGACAACAGTTCAACACAGAGAGCGGGAACATAGAGAAAGAAATGAATTGATTTGTCAATGCTGCATTCTCATAATATGCCTTTAGGGGGTGCATGTGCTCAACAAATACAGTTTCTGGAGTGACTATTTTTCAGCCTCAACTCAGTGGAACATATCAGGAATACCTTGTCCTGTTTCCCAGAGAAAGTGTTGCAATGAAAAGTCTACCTCTAATATACTGCCAATATCGCATTGTCTCTCGGCGCTCCTCGCTAGTAGAGTTTGGAAATTGTCTACAGTACTGATAGCAGTGAAACATCCAACTTGGTTTGGAATCATAGTCCTGCTACCCTTGCACAATTAAAAGAAGACATCACAATCCCTTTTAATTTAATATTTGAATATATATAGTTGTAAACACCAGTGAATTGGTGTAATACGAGCCACATCTAGTTTACCCCCAGCACATATAAACGCTAAATCAACAAAAATAGAACTTAATAGTTTGTTATATTTACATAAGCCCAGTCTGCTTGTGCACTGACAGATGATTAGCCCTGGCGATAATAATCCCTTTGAATTTAATATTTGAATATATATAGTTGTAAATTATGTATATTTCTTTTTCTTATCCTACACAATGTAGTCAAGACTATTTTTCAACATAAATGTATATTCAAGAGCAGTCATTTCACAAGAACAAAATTAGATTCACATGCTGGCGTTTTTTCTTATTCCATGAATATTGATGTATTACTCCCAAAAAATAATCACATAGGCTGATACCAAACTTTTAGGTTATTTCTGATAATAACATACTATTGTATCTATTCATTGGTGCCTACGATATTCAAAACACACGAAGAGATGACTTCTCAAAGAATAATACTGAAAGTGTCAATGGAATGGACAGATGGGAACCAACGGATGGAGCAGGCTGGACCAAGCCTGTGGTTGCTAATCTCTCCCTGTCATTTTTTGCCATTTCCCCAAACCATAGCTGGCCGCACCAGCAGATAAAGCCAGTTAAGGAAAGGCTGAATAAATTATGGAAACTCACCAGCCTCTCGGAGAATCTAACTCTTACTCTCTTCATATTCTCCTGTCATATTCACTACCTCAGCATCTTGCTTATTTTTTTTTAAGCTCACAAAACAATGAGAGGAAGAGCCGAAACCGTGAGAAACACAAGCAGAGTTGTGAATTCAAAACTACATTATTATAGAGATAATGTATTGTATATATACTGTATATAATATTAGGAGGGATAGTTATGGGAAATAGAGATGGCCGAATTCTCAGTGATTTATTTCACAAGGCCTCTATACATTGGCTTGGCACTATGGTCAGAGAGCCCTGGATGTCAGAGAGCCCTGGAAGTCATAGTATAGGAAGTTCATTTTTGATATGCGTTCTTCAAAAGCAGGCTGAAGATGATTATGATCCGCTCTCATAATGAAAGTGGATGTAAGCTTGAGTCTAGGTGTCCCAATGTTCACTGGCTCTTCTTGAAACAGGGTGGTGTGCTCACAAGGCTGAAACAAAATGTTGCATAAATAAAGGTCCTGCATCTCCCTGTGACCGTCATGTCAGTCAAGTGTGGATGCAAGGGTTGTAGAGACAACTATGAAAATGACTGTTTACGTCTAGATCTGGTCCATTTGTCTGGATGTGTGTCCGCAGCTTGTGTAGGTTGAGAGCATTACATGTTTATAAATATATTATTGGGGTAGTGTTGAAAATAAGTTTATGTACAGGAATGGACAGTAATACTGAAGTAAAAATACTTCTAAATGCTGCTCACAAATGTAGCCTTGTTTATGGTCATGCCTCATGAATAGCTTGACAACATAAAAAAATGTTATTTTTGATTAAAAAGTAACTGTTATCATACTGTCATGTATTAGTTTATTATTATAAGTGGATCATTATTACTGTGATAATAAGCCTCCTGTAGCTCAGTTGGTAGAGCATGGCACTTGCAACGCCAGGGTTGTGGGTTCGATTCCCACGGGGGGCCAGTATGAAAAATGTATGCACTCACTAACTGTAAGTCACTCTGGATAAGAGCGCCTGCTAAATGACTAAAATGTAATAATCATTGTTGTTAGATTGATTTGTCTGTTTAGATTGATTAGTCTGTCTATTGTTAGATGAACTATGTTGAAGCATGCATGGGCATTTGGATGAGTACCTGTGTGCACTGCAGAGCCTCTGAGTGAGTAACTGGAGGGGAGTGTGTATGAGTGGCTTTTGGCAGCAGGTGGGTGGTTTAGAGTGTGTGGCTTCAGTGATAAGTTATCAGTAGTCTGACAGCCACTGTACTGAACAACCCCAACCCCACTCCCCACCATGAAACAGAAAAAGAGACACTTTCGAGGTCACAACTTCTACATTACATTGAGCTGTACTTGTCCATACCAATCTGTACATATAGCAGTCAGAATTTTGTCTAGTTCAGCCATGATACATTTTACATAAAATAAAATAAAAATCGTCATTTAGCAGATGCTTTTATCCAGAGCGACTTACAGTTAGATATTAGCACATTATATTGATTTGAACATATTTATTTAGTCTGTAAGCTGATTGTAATCAGTATATCAAACTGTCATATCATATTTGTTTCTGATTCATTACAAAGCAAGTTATGTTTGTTGTTAATACATGACCTTTGCGTTCACGCACCATAGCAAATTGTGTCATGCATGAAACACAATGAGCATGCAGGTGTTTGTGTGGAAAACTGTGTGTGCCCATGGTGTGTGTGTGTGTGTGTGTGTGTGTGTGTGTGTGTGCATGTGTAATTTTTTGTTGACCTAACGGTAGGTAATGCCACATCAATCTCAATTTAGAACCTGGCACAAGTTCCTCACTTGAGTTAAATGTTTTGTCACTTTCCCGCAGCTTAATGGAAAACCAAGGATTTGCATGTCTGGTGCTTCCAAACCAATTCCACTGTCAGAGTCCTTACCCCAACAGAACCTGGACAAAGACACCATTATACCTCAGCAAGTGAGAGTACAATGCCACTACAGTGAGACTCACTGCAGCACCTGAAACAGTGCAGATAATTTAAATACCATTTACACATTGAAAACGACAAACTTGTGCCTAAAACCCAGGTATTTGTTTAGTAAATAACCAGAAATAGTATAGAAATCTTCTTAATATTACCATTCATGTTTTATTGTTTATGTGGAGCTTGTAAGAAATGACAAATATAGAAATATAGCAAATACAAAACAATTTCATATTTTAATGCCCTTTCACATGTCTACTAAAATCATAAACATTTGAAAAGGGATATGGCAACTGTAGTCGGTGCGTATTTACAAAATACAGCTACAAGTTCATACCAGTGTTAGCCATATCAATGATCACAGTGGGATGTTTAAACTTTCCTTTTATTGTTTTACTTTTCATAAACATAGAATATGCCTTTTACAAAATACAGTCAAATTCTTCCATACAAGTTTTTCTTTTTTGATCTTGTAAAAATGTGCCACCATATTATGTCCAGTATTTAGACAAGATCAACTTCACACACAAAATTGGTTAGCAAAGAAGTATAAATGCATTTATATACAGGGCATCCATTGCTACAAAGAAGCTTTTCCTCAGTAGGCTACTTTGTGTCTGTATGCTCTGTATGTTGCTGCCTTTATGGGTCTGCATATGCTCAGGTCTGTTTCACACCAGAGTGGGCACCATGGCAGTGTTTGGGTGTTGGGTGTAGGACAGGTTGGCAGACGGGTGCAGGCCGGAGTGTGGGGGGAGGAAGTGAGGGGTGTGGCTATAGGAGAGCAGTGACCCTGGGCCCAGGGAGTAAGGGCCTCCGTGGTAATCGAGGGTGGGACCCTGTGAAAGGTCAGGGTATTGCTCTAACATGGCACTCATCTTGCCCTTCTTGTTCTTGTTGGACACTTTACGGTTTCGTGTTTGGATACCGTCTTTCTTCATAGTAAGGGGTCTGTTGACCTGTGAAAAGAGAAGTGTGCCTTTACTTCATATACATAAGTTAGTACATTCCCTTTCTCCATTATTACCCTGATACTACTATACTACAGGAGGTAGATCTAATACAAACTGTGTACCCACTGGACCCGCTATTGTGGTTCAATGACTAGGGTTCAGTAGCTTGGAGTTGTGTGGGTTTTGTATTTTTAACCAGTGAGGGGGTGCTAGCTAGAAGCTGGTAATAGTAGCTCTGTAGCAGTCAGTGTATCAGTGTATCTTGTTCATTGACTCACGTTGTGCAGCTTGAAGTAGAGTCCACAGGCGTTGCACACGGGCTCACCGCTGGCGTTCCGTCTCCACAGTGTGGTGGTGCTTGTGTGACAGTTGGCACATTGTGTCCCGGCCCGCTTGCTGACAATCTGAAACAGAGAGAGAGGAAGGTAAGTCAATTATGTGGATGAAAGGTGAGTTCCAATGTTCATTTGTTTTTCAATCAATAAATTGGCATGTCAACACAATAGAATTTATAACTGATTATCTTATCCAATCCTTATGCCATATCATACCAGTCTTTTCTTTGGCCGGATCAGGGGACGGTTCTGGCCATTCATCTTGTGGTAAAGCCCACAGGCGTTACACAGGTAGTGTCCTGTCCCATCTCGACGCCATAGAGGGGTGTTAGTGGCTCCGCAGTTGACGCACTCCCTGGCCTCTGCCACCAATCAAAAACACACTACATCAGTCTCCTACTGTTCATCTGTTCCCAAAGAATCATCTGAAATCCCAAAGGATGTTCAGAGGAAAGCAGGGGCGGATTGGCCATCTGGCAATTCTGGCAAATGCCTATTGGAATTGACCATTTTTAGTTGGGTGGGCTGGTTGAAATTGATACACACACACAAAAAAACAAAAAAACAATATAAAAATAAAACAATGAAAAAAGTTAACATGGCTGGAGGCCCATGGGCCTGTTGCGCAATTTCTGTTATACTAATGTAAACTGAACAAAAATATAAACGCAACATGTGAAGTGTTGGTCCCATGTTTCATGAGCTGAAATAAAAGATCCCAGAAATGTTCATTATGCACAAAAAGCTTATTTCTCTCAAATTTGGTGCACACATTTGTTTACCTCTCCATTAGTGAGCATTTCTCCTTTACCAAGATAATCCATCCACCTGACAGGTGTGGCATATCAAGAAACAGATTAAACAGCATGATCATTACACAGGTGCACCTTGTGCTGGGGACAATAAAAGGCCACTCTAAAATGTACAATTTTGTCACACAACACAATGCCACAGATGTCTCAAGGTTTGAGGGAGTGTGCGATTGGCATGCTGACTGCAGGAATGTCCACCAAAGCTGTTGCCAGATAATTGAATGTTCATTTCTCTATCATAAACCACCTCCAACGTTGTTTTAGAGAATTTGGCAGTACGTCCAACCGGCCTCACAACCGAGGCCACATGTAACCACGCCAGCCCAGGACCTCCACATCCGGCTTCTTCACCTGCAGGATCGTCTGAGACCAGCCACCCAGACAGCTGATGAAACTGAGGAGTATTTCTGTCTGTAATAAAGCCCTTTTGTGGGGAAAAAACTCATTCTGATTGGCTGGGCCTGGCTCCCCAGTGAGTGGGCCTGGCTCGTAAGTGGGTGGGCCTATGCCCTCCCAGGCCCACCCATGGCTGTGACCCTGCCCAGTCATGTGAAATCCATAGATTAGGGCCTAATTAATTTATTACAATTGAATGATTTCCTTATGTGAACTGTAACTCAGTAAAATCGTTGAAATTGTTACAGAGCCTTTGGCTCTGTCATCAGTTAGACAGCAAAGATCATGGATGGTAAAAAACGGAAAGAGCTCCTATAAACGTAGAAAGAGCACATTCTACATTGTCACCTCAATCAAAACGTCCTCTTTTTTTGGGAGGCTAAAACCATGATTTAGTCAAACAGTAAAGTGCATTATGCTCATGATTCCTGTAATAAAAGTGTCTGCTCTGCCCCTGTGCCTGTGCACTCACTGAGGCCTACTGCTGTGATGAGTGAGCCACTCTCCTCTCCCCCCATGCACTTGAGAGAAAAATGTGTTCTGATTGTATAACATTTCAAAATGCAATTGCGGGAAAAACACAGCTTTAGAAGCTTCGTTCCCTTGTCCCTGTCGAAGAGCGGAGGGTCTCAGCTTTCTGTAGGTATAATTGTTATTTCTCAACTCTGAATATTCAGCTCAATAGCAACTATTTTACAACCAAGATATTTGGTATGGCTTTGAGATATTGAGTAGAATGCAAGAGAAATGTGCTCCGGCCATTGTTTATGGCATAGGCCTATAGGTCTCATTGGTAGGGCTGTTAAGGTGACCATATTACCACCACACAGTCAAATTCCACATGACCGTTTAATCACCGTAACTAGGCTTCTCCAAGCTCTGATGCTGCTGATGGTCATTAGTAGCCTACCAAACTTGATAACTGTCGGGTACTCAGCACTCTATTGTCCCTCTAGTCACTGACATCAATGCAAATGTTTTCGAAAATCAAATCAAACACTTCATGAGAGCCCATGAGCTCATGTTGCGCAACATTTCTATAGGCTAATGCAATTGCGTGAGAAAACAGAGTTTTGATTGTCTCTATTAAAAAGAGGATCCCATCAGCTTTTCTATAGGCTAGGCCTATTATATTTATTTATAAACTTTTCTAATATTAAGCACATTGCTTCGCTTTACAATAGGAGTATAGCCTACCTGTAGCCTACCTGTAGCCTACCTGTAGTATAGTGGTCCTCTGTAGCTCAGCTGGTAGAGCATGGCGCTTGTAACGCCAAGGTAGTGGGTTCGATCCCCGGGACCACACATACACAAAAAAAAAATGTATGCACGCATGACTGTAAGTCGCTTTGGATAAAAGCGTCTGCTAAATGGCATATTATATAATATACCTGGCTGGCATGAAAATGCACCTTTATAATGCTGCACTTATAATATGAAGAAATAGTGTAATAGTTTATCAACATTTTAAACTAAACGTTCTGATCTGTTGCATCAGCCTCATTGCTTTTAAAAGATTTTTTGATGTGAGTGGTTGTATTAATTTGGGATCTATCGCATCCTACAACTGTCCCAGAGTATGTTTGGAATATTTATTTATTGCACAGAAGGACAATAGAATAGGTCAACTTCTGTACGATGGGGGATAGTAGATTGACATAGGCTAGTGCTTTTGCTGTTTGTTAGGCCTACTCATCTTGTTGGCTGACGAAAAGTAGGCTACATTTGGACAGTTCTTCTAACATCTTCAATATGCGCCTCGGAATTTGATAAGATGGACGTGCGCAGTTGCATCCCCGATGTGCCTGTCTTCACTTGTAGCCTACTTCTTAGATGAGAGAAGGACCTGATCACGTGATGGGCCTTGGCTAATAAGAATTGAGATATCTGAGAGAGCCATATGAGTGAGAGGTGCTTCGGAGCACAGCAGCCAAGAGAAGGGAATTATAATTACACTGAACAAAAATGTAAATGCAACATGCAGCTATTTTAAATATTTTACTGAGTTACAGTTCAAATAAGGAAATCAGTCAATTTAAATAAATTCATTAGTCCCTACTCTATGGATTTCACATGACTGGAAATACAGATATGCATCGGTTGGTCACAGATACCTTAAAAGAAAGTAGGGTGACTCATGGATCAGAAAACCAGTCATTATCTGGTGTGACCACCATTTGCCTCAAGCAGCGCGACAAATCTCCTTCGCATAAAGTTGATCAGCTGTTGATTGTGGCCTGTGGAATGTTGTTCCACTCCTCTTCAATGGCTGTGCGAAGTTGCTGGATATTTGCGTGAACTGGAACACACTGTCATACACGTCGATCCAGAGCATCCCAAACATGCTCAATGGGTGACATGTCTGGTGAGTATGCAGGACATGGAAGAACTGGGAAATGTTCAGCTTACAGGCATTGTGTACAGATCCTTGTGACATGGGGGCGTGCATTATTATGCTGAAACATGAGGTGATGGCACCGGATGAATGGCACGACAATGGGCCTCATCATCTCAAATCAAATCAAATCAAATTTTATTGGCCACATGCGCCGAACACAACAGGTGCAGACATTACAGTGAAATGGTTACTTACAGCCCTTAACCAACGGTGCATTTATTTTTAATAAAAAAGTAAAATAAAACAACAACAAAAAAGTGTTGAGAAAAAATAGTCAGGGTAGCCATGATTAGCTGTTCAGGAGTCTTATGGCTTGGGGGTAGAAGCTGTTGAGAAGTCTTTTGGACTTAGACTTGGCACTCCGGTACCGCTTGCCATGCGGTAGCAGAGAGAACAGTCTATGACTAGGGTGGCTGGAGTCTTTGACAATTTTGAGGGTCTTCCTCTGACACCGCCTGGTATAGAGGTCCTGGATGGCAGGAAGCTTGGCCCCAGTGATGTACTGGGCCGTACGCACTACCCTCTGCAGTGCCTTGCGGTCGGAGGCCAAGCAGTTGCCATACCAGGTGGTGATGCAACCAGTCAGGATGCTCTCGATGGTGCAGCTGTATAATTTTTTGAGGATCTGAGGACCCATGCCGAATCTTTTCAGTCTCCTGAGGGGGAATAGGCTTTGTTGTGCCCTCTTCACGACTGTCTTGGTGTGTTTGGACTATGATAGTTCGTTGGTGATGTGGACACCAAGGAACTTGAAGCTCTCAACCTATTCCAATACAGCTCCGTCGATGAGAATGGGGGCATGCTCAGTCCTCTTTTTTTTCCTGTAGTCCACAATCATCTCCTTTGTCTTGGTCACGTTGAGGGAGAGGTTGTTATCTTGGCACCACACGGCCAGGTCTCTGACCTCCTCCCTATAGGCTGTCTCATCGTTGTCGGTGATCAGGCCTACCACTGTTGTGTCGTCGGCAAACTTAATGATGGTGTTGGAATCGTGCCTGGCCATGCAGTCATGGGTGAACAGGGAGTACTGGAGGGGACTGAGCACGCACCCCTGAGGGGCCCCCGTGTTGAGGATCAGTGTGGCAGATGTGTTGTTACCTACCCTTACCACTTGGGGGCGGCCCGTCAGGAAGTCCAGGATCCAGTTTCAGAGGGAGGTGTTTAGTTCCAGGATCCTTAGCTTAGTGATGAGCTTTGAGGGCACTATGGTGTTGATGCTGAGCTGTAGTCAATGAATAGCATTCTCACGTAGGTGTTCATCTTGTCCAAGGGAGGAAAGGGCAGTGTGGAGTGCAATAGAGATTGCATCATCTGTGGATCTGTTGGGGCGGTATGCAAATTGGAGTGGGTCTAGGGTTTCTGGGATAATGGTGTTGATGTGAGCCATGACCAGCCTTTCAAAGCACTTCATGGCTACAGACGTCAGTGCTACGGGTCGGTAGTCATTTAGGCAGGTTATCTTAGTGTCCTTGGGCACGGGACTATGGTGGTCTGCTTGAAACATGTTGGTATTACAGACTCAGTCAGGGACATGTTGAAAATGTCAGTGAAGACACTTGCCAGTTGGTCAGCACATGCTCGGAGTACACGTCCTGGTAATCCGTCTGGCCCTGCGGCCTTGTGAATGTTGACCTGCTTAAAAGTCTTACTCACAACGGCTACGGAGAGCGTGATCACATAGTCATCCAGAACAGCTGGTGCTCTCATGCATGCTTCAGTGTTGCTTGCCTCGAAGCGAGCATAGAAGTGGTTTAGCTCATCTGGTAGGCTTGTGTCACTGGGAAGCTTGCGGCTGTGCTTCCCTTTGTAGTCTGTAATAGTTTTCAAGCCCTGCCACATCCGACGAGCGTCAGAGCCGGTGTAGTATGATTCAATCTTAGTCCTGTATTGACTCTTTGCCTGTTTGATGGTTCGTCGGAGGGCATAGCGGGATTTCTTATAAGCGTCCGGGTTAGAGTCCCGCTCCTTGAAAGCGGCAGCTCTACCCTTTAGCTCAGTGCGGATGTTTCCTGTAATCCATGGCTTCTGGTTGGGGTATGTACGTACGGTCACTGTGGGGACGACATCATCGATGCACTTATTGATGAAGCCAGTGACTGATGTGGTGTTCTCGCCATGGTATCTCAGTGCATTCAAACTGCTATCGATAAAATGCAACTGTGTTCATTGTTCGTAGCTTATGCCTGCCCATACCATAACCCCACCGCCACCATGGGGCACTCTGTTCACAACGTTGACATCAGCAAACTGGTCACCCACATGATGCCATACACGCTGTCTGCCATCTGCCCAATACAGTTGAAACTGGGATTCATCCATGAAGAACACACTTCTCCAGCGTGCAAGTGGCCATCGAAGGTGAGCATTTTCCCACTGAAGTCGGTTACGAGGCCGAACTGCAGTCATGTCAAGACCCTGGGGAGGACGACAAACCAGTCTCCTGACAGTTTGTGCAAAACTTATTCGGTTGTGCAAACCCACAGTTTAGTCAGCTGTCCGGGTGGCTGGTCTCAGACGATCCCGCAGGTGAAGAAGCCGGATGTGGAGGTCCTGGGCTGGCGTGGTTACACGTGGTCTGCGGTTGTGAGGCCGGTTGGACGTACTGCCAAATTCTCTAAAACAACATTGGAGGCGCTTTATGGTAGAGAAATTAACATTAAAGTCGCTGGCAACAGCTCTGGTGCACATTCCTGCAGTCAGCATGCCAATTGCACACTCCCTCAAAACTTGAGACATCTGTGGCATTGTATTGTGTGACAAAACTGCACATTTTAGCATGGGCTTTTATTGTTCACAGCACAAGGTGCACCTGTGTAATGATCATGCTGTTTAATCAGCTTCTTGATATGCCACACCTGTCAGGTGGATGGATTATCTTGGTAAAGGAGAAATGATCACTACCAGGGATAAAAACAAATTTGTGTAAAACATTTGAGAGAAATAAGCTTTTAGTGCGTATGGAACATTTCGGGGATCTTTTATTTCAGCTCATGAAACATGGGACCAACACTTTACATGTTGCATTTATATTTTTGTTCAGTGTATTATATTCAGCCCAATGGCACAGCGGCCACTTTGGCCGCAAAAGGCATGGATTTTTTAGGGGGCATTACGGCCACACAAGGGGGATGCCGCCGGGAAATTCAAGGCCTGGTGAGAATATTATCAAGTCCTTGTCAAATTGTAAATGAGAGACAGTCTGCACAATAAACAAATCAGAGCTCATGCCTTTCATGCAACTTTTTTCAAATCATCATTAGAGTCACATCATGCAGCCTTATAATGTATTAAAAATCAAAACATATAGCCCAACGTTTGTATCACAGCTAAAGTTGCATAAATAACTCTAAATTAAGCATATAGGAGGACCTGTTTCTTTGTTAACGCTCAACACAGAATAGCTGCATGTGCGCACTTCCTTGGAAATCTTTTGGAGAAAATATCCTTTCTATTTTATTCAGCTATGTTCAATTGTATTCTTCATACTATAAAATAATTAAAAAGAATACCACGGAATTCTAAGTAAATATTGTCTGCTAAATTAACTAGTGTAGCCCACAGCCATATGGCATAGCCATATCAGGGTCTAACATAAGGACAACTCAGAGTATGCTATTCTGTTCTTCTGAAATAGACTACATTTTCTTCATATCATGTTTATTTAAACCTGTCTAAAATAAATAATGGATATATTGTGATGGTGTAGGCTATATTAAATGGATGTATTATACTTTTTTTATGTAGATATTCCAAATGTCTAATCAGTGACTTTTAGGCTGTGCATGGAAGCCAGGAGATGCTAAACGTGTTAATGTTAATTAACTGTAAATTACTGTGAGACCGGCAGTTATTTGCTTGACAGTCACCGGCTGACAAAATGTAATGACCGCCACAGCCCTAGGTAGTAGCCTACAACTGCAAAGTTTTTATAGGACATTACATTTACTATTGGATGAATACATGGCTACTAGCAGTGGGTATTATATTTAGAGTTAGTGATCTAGTTAATGTGTTTTGAGTTTCTACTTCCTCAGGTATTGAACCCCAAATTAATTAGCCTACGATATTAGTTAGTGCGCATAAATATGTATGTAATTAATTTATCTCTACTCAACCCCCCAAAAATCAGGAAATTCTGGAGTCCTATTTTGCTCACCTGGTGGGGACAGCCTCATCTTATTACGTAGTTTGGGGGAGTAAGAGGAGGGGCTCATCCATGCCCCTGGAGAGTAGAGGCCTGCTGTGCTGTAGTCCTGTGGAGAGGTTATGTACGAGCTGTAGGGGCCCAGCATGTGCGAGTGGGAGTGGGGAGATGGTGTGTACACACCCCCAGCAGCTGAAGTCAGATTCAGAAAACTGCTTCCACCACCTCCCCCTAAAGGACTCAAGCGCTCGGCCTTCAAGGCCTCCTGAAGCCTGGGACTTTCCTTGCCATCCCTGCCTGGAGAGGAGTACCCATCTCTGCAGGAAAACGAGGATGTGGCGCTGGAGGCATAAAGGGAGGTTGGGGTGTGTGGGTGCAGTGGAGTCTTGGTGAAAGGGTTGCTGGTCCAGGTAGAGGTTGATGGGTTGTAAGGAGAGCTCAGAGAGGGGCTGCCAGGCCCTTCCAGCCATTGGAGGTTGCTTGGGAGAGAGGGCGAGGAGTACACCTGGCGAACTGTACGAGAGAGATACAATAGAAGGGCATAATTTGAGTCCCCCATTACAAATGTTTTTGATTATTTTATATTCAATGTTAATTTAGACTCTGAAAGGTCAACATAAAAGTTTTAAAGTTATGTTAGGTTCCACACTGCTGACCTGAGCTGTGTCTGTAGGCTAATGGAGCCCTGCTGTGACTGGGGTTGGAGAAGTAGGAGGGCATGCTGGTGAAATCAGTCTCATGGTTGGAGAAGAAAGGCTCTCCCTCTTCTCCTGGAGGTAGTAAACCAGGCTCTGAGGAGAAGCTGGCCAGGGGATCAGAGCTGAGCAGAGCCGGAGACACCCAGTGAGACTGTTCAGAGGAATCCTCCATGCTTATAGAGATAACCACTGACTCTGAAACAACAGAAAGGATTTGGAGAAATCTGTCATTCCTAGGGAGTCCCAGGGAATAGATCTAGATGGGAACTGATTGGACCTATAGCAACAACCAGACAGGACCAGCATCTCAGTAGGCTGATGTGATTTACATTCAAGTGTTTACAAATAATGTTGTTTGTGTGGATGCCATTTTAAAGAAATCCATGTAACTTCAAGACATGATGGTCACTCGACAGCAGCAGTTCTCTTCTAATTTCCCTTTCAAGAATCCTCATTTGCCTGTGGCTGAAAGTAGACCCTAATAATATATAAGCCTATCTGAAATTACAAAGAGCGAACAAACGTTTGCTTACTACAACAAATTACCTTTATAGAAATTAATATTATACGTTTTGTAAAAACAGAATATGAGAGCAACGTCCCTGGGCTAAAACATTGAGTTCTTCTAAGGAAAAAGCAAATAAAAATTGTAATAATTAAATTGAAAACAGTTCCATGTTTATAGATGTTCAGCACTTGCATGGTGCTGGTGCTTAGATAATTTGATATAGTTCAGTGATAATTTTGTTGCAGCCGGTCGCGGCCGGCTACGACAGAGTGGCACAGCTAGCACTGCGATGCAGTGCCTTAGACCACTGCGCCACTCGGGAGACTAAGTGCATGGTGTACAGTAGTTAATAATAGAGACAATGTTGTACCATATCTTTATTCACTTGTGATAAGGGGCAAGAGGAGCCTGATAGGGTCTGATAGAGTCTGAGAAAATCAGATAGAGTACATTATTGTCATACTAAATATACCTAGCACCAGTGATATGACGGAATAAATAATCTCATCTGATTAATAGAAATCTATTGTCACACAATTACTGCTGACTAACAGCCAATGGACCATAGAAAACCACTGTCATGGAACTTCTCGTAATAAAACAATTGTGCAGAATAAATCAATGCTATCACTGCAACAACAACAACAAAACTATTTGCCCAAATAATAACATTAGGAAAATAGTGAAATGTCACTGTAAATTTGCAATGGTATAGCAGAACAAGTTTTACTCTCGTTGTATACCAGCCGTTATGGCAAAAATAAATAGATGTCAAAATTGTAAAGTAAAATAGTTACAATTAAAATGTTAATTAATTTAATGAAAATGCTTTATGCTAAATTAACATTCAACTCAAATTATTAATCAAACTAGATGAAGAGAATTAACATACTAACAATAAAAACATTATGAGCAATAAAGACCCATGTTGATAAGTGTACACTTGTCTGGGTATAAATAATTAAACCATACCCTCCTTTACTGTAACTGTAGTTAAGTTTAAGAACTTTATCTAAAGAGGTCATTGCCACTTACCACTTTTATCTCACATAGTGTTGCAGCCAATCAAACAACTAATGGTCTAGAGTAATGCAGAACACTAACTTCCACAGGTTCCAGTTTCACACCATTACACTTGTGATCATCCACTGTCACTCAGGCTGATAGTGTGTACAGTGGCACTATAATGTGACAGAAAAGCTGCACCTACCTGAGGTCCCTATGAGGAGTGAATGTCAAAGGTGAGTAGAGTATGGCCGCAGTATAGGATACCCAGCTAGGTGAAATATTGAGAGATCGTACAGCCTGAGGTTTCAGTGTCTGTATCTGTGTCTGTGTGGGCAAATCTCCAGAAGACTAACTGAGGTCTAGAACCCCTCGATAAACTGACTGAGATTAAGGTTAGAAAGGGAGCGATGGGAGGGGTTGGGGATAACTTTTTTGAAAGACACACCTCCTTGTCCTGCTATACCAAGAGACATCTAATTTGTATGTTAGGGTAGACTCACTATAGTCAGTCCCAATTTGAAATTGTCAGCAAATGTATCAACACCCAGAAACTCCTTATTATGATCATTATTTACCTCTATGTTATTGACAGGAATGGTAAACATTAACAATTTGTTTTTGTTTTTATATGATTCCATTTATGTCATGGCACTGTTGTATAAAAAAGGGGAGTTGACGGGTATTAATGTGACTTGTGTCAGTTATATCTGGACTAGCCGACTAACCTCAGCTCCACGATTTACGATGGATTTGAGCTGCAACTAGTGTGGGGGGACTGGAGCTCCAACGTCAAAAACAATGTATTTCAGCACCCCAACAATAGACTGTCATTTTATGTTTGGTCAGAGCTCCAGTTCTCCCACACTAGTCGCCGCTCAATTCCATCGTAAATCGTGGGGTTGAGTTTGGTCGGCTATATCTGGACCAATGTCTTGGACTAATAAAATATGCAAGTCATAATTTCACTCTCCATTGGAATTTTGCGCTGTGGAATTCTTCTCAGTATCTGCTCCTGAATTACAATATTTATTGAGTAATGCAGCCAGCTTGCAGCAGGGACTCTTTTTGTCTGTTGATGAATATGCATACAACGCTGATAAGACCAGACCCACATCGTAAAAAGGAGAGATGGGCATTTTAACAAAATAAATAAAAAATGCAAAGAATACATTTCTCTGTGGTTCAGCACAGCTTAGAGTGGAGGACAGTAATGCAAATTGGGAGAGGTGCTGCAATCATGGATAGAGATATGGTCTGGACACAGGCAGGCTTCAGACAGGCCTCATTCTGTCACAATCATTTGGTAGTCAAAGCATCCTCGACTTTCCTCCTCCTTTGTTCATTTACAGTTTTCATGGAAATTAGGAGAGAGTTAGAGAGAAGTGAACCCTTTCATTGCACAAGAAACACATCATACTGTAGCTCACTGCCTGTAACTGTCTTTTTCATGTGGAAATGTAAGATAATTTACATGAACAACTGCTGTTTCGTCCCTGTTCCTATCATGGTGATAGAGAGCATTAAAATGCACAATATTCAAATTCTAACAATCCAGAGGAACTATATCTGTTGATGAATTAAGCATTCAATCTTAAGTCGGAGAGATGATTTTGAGGCTTATGGCTCACTCAAAGAAAGAAAAGACGAAGACGAGAGAGAGAGAGGATGAGGGCCTGACTGTGTACAGCTGGGTTTGTGTGAGGAGAGGAGAGTGGTGGAGAGCGGTGGCGAGGGATGTGGCTGGTGGCAGTCTGTCAGTGAGCTGCTTGTCTCTGATAAGAGGTTATCAAGATGAAAGGGGGTGGCCGGGAATTACAGGCCTAACACTGTCACCCAGCAGACACAGAGGAACATACAGTAGGTGTTATACTTATGATAAAATGTTCATGCTATTCTACTGAGACATTTACTTTATGTTCGTATTCTTATCTTTTATTTTTTCTTACTGTTGTTGAATTGTCGAGAAGGAACCTGCAAGTAAGCATTTCGTTTACCATGTGTTTCCTGTACATACGACCAATAAAAGCCATGCCACTCTTAATACACAAATGTACATAAGCTAAAAAACACATTTACACACACAAATATACATCTCTGTCTATGCACTGGCACACACACACACACACACACACACACACACACACACACGCACACACAGAGAGAGAGAGAGAGAGAGAGAGAGAGAGAGAGAGAGAGAGAGAGAGAGAGAGAGAGAGAGAGAGCGAGAGAGAGAGAGAGAGAGAAAGAGAAAGATATCTGAAACTGACAAAGTACAACCTATAACCTATATTATACAGTTGAGCAGTTCTATGATATGGTTATGACTTGATGATGGGGGGGGTGGCAGGCCAGTGGCCATTGGGGTCAGACCTCCAATTCCCAAGAAACAGTCTTCTGTGTATGCAGTAGTGTTATCTCTACCACACAGAGGCTGCTGAGCCATTCTCAGATACCCCCGTCCCCCGTCCCCCGTCTCTCTCTCTCTCTCTCTCTCTCTCTCTCTCTCTCTCTCTCTCTCTCTCTCTCTCTCTCTCTCTCTCTCTCTCTCTCTCTCTCTCTCTCTCTCTCTCTCTCTCTCTCTCTCTCTCTCTCTCTCTCTCTCTCTCTCTCTCTCTTTCTCTAGCTCTCTGTGCAAGAAAGAAATCTCCTGGTGAATCTACACAGTTATAATGGTAAAAAGACAGATTATTACACAAATAATTTCGATTTTTACTAATGAACTCAATAATGGTCCATAACTTTTTTTTAGGTTTGTTGTAAGTAACAAATTATAGGCTGGAACCACACCCCAACTGTCATAAAACACTGACACACCACAACATATTTGTGTGCAAAGAACTCTAAGCAAGGCTAATGTCAGCACTTGCTTCATCTGATACATGAGAGACAGATATGCATGTCTTACACAGGCCCTGGAAGAGAAGAGAACAGCTTAGCAACAGCCAAAGATCATATTCATAGAGCTTTGATTTTTATATATTTTATTCAGCAATAGGAAAATAACAAAAATATGTTTTAACATTTTTCACTGCCATCTTTGTCCCTTTCTTTGTAGTTCTCACAGTAATAATTGTTATTCTAAATATAAAAATCAGAACAACAAAGATTTGTTCTACTGTTGCAAGTGCTTGAAATACCATAAAATACCTTTACTGTCTAAATGTATCTTTCCTATTGGAAAATATACGTTCTTTGCTATTTGATACTCTGACAGCCCATTCTTTTGCATTATGATAATGAAATCAAATGTTGAACATATTTATCAAAAGTAAGATCAACTCTTGAGTGTATTAATATATGATATAAGATCTGAATTGATCATGGCATGGTAATGGTGGTTATGGTGACTATCATCACACCTTGGAAGAGTGAGAGCTGATAGAACCCTAGCAGGATTCCTAAAATCCTTGAGTAGGCCTAGTAGGATGTATAACATCATATGACCACCCTCTGGTGGTGGAAATGTTTCAGTAGCTGAGGTTCATTCATTTCAAGTGGAGTGTCTTCATTCAATGTGAATAATAAGATACCTTTCATATAATTGGATCAGTTGTTCAGGCACTTTCCAAGATGCAAGGCTTCTTGCTTTCTGCGCTGGGAGGGGATTGCGTGCACCGCAGTGAATGCAATATTGAAATGTTTTATAGCCTATTTTTCAAGAAACTTGGCACAAATGGTTCAAGTCTATAACCAGCTGAATAAATAAATCTGTTGTAAAATGTATTTTAATGTTTTTATTTTATTTATTATAATGTATATTACTGCCTTAATTTTTGCTGGACCCCAGGAAGAGTAGCTACTGCTTTGGCAAGAACTAATGGGGATCCATAATTGTCACGCCCTGACTCTGGGGACTCGTTGTCACGAATTCCGCCGAGACTGCTCCTCCTCCTTGTTCGGGCAGGCTTCGGCGTTCGTCGTCCCCGGAGTACTAGCTGCTACCGCTTGATGTTCTCTATGTTTGTTTGGTTTTGTCTTGTTGGTGCACCTGTTTCGTCTTATGTATTGATTATGTCACCTATAAGTTTCCTTTGGTTTTGTTTGCAGTTGTGTGTTGTTGTCCGCCTGTCCGTTGGTGAATCTTTATTGTGCTCTAGTTGTTAGTGTTTTTACGCACTGTTTGCGTAATCGCTCGCCTCATGTGTTTGAGGCCCGTTATTTTTGTTATTGTCTGTGTGACAATTAAAGTCGTTTCGACTAAGCTTCTGTGTCCAACACCGCATCCACATCAGCTCGTGACAGAACAACACACCATACTATGGAGTCAGCAGGAGCAGCGGCGGCGACCGAGTCGCTGGAGGATCGGGTCAGCTGCCAGGACACCAGGATCCAGCAACTCGGCTCCGCCATGCAGGAGGTGATGAACACCCTGCGCCGATGGGAAAGGAGAGGAGTGCCCACACCTCCTCCTACATTACCACCACCATCGGCCAGCCCCACCAGACCAGCTCCGGAATCCAGTGGGATTCGGCTCTCGCTCCCGAGGGCGTATGATGGCACCGCAGCCGGGTGTCAGGTGTTCCTCCTTCAGGTTGAACTCTACCTGGCCACCATACACCCGGCGCCCTCGGGATACGAGAGCGTTTCCGCCCTCATCTCCTGTCTCTCCGGCAAGGCGTTGGAGTGGGCCAACGCCGAATGGAGGGGAATAGACGCCGCCACCATCAGCTACGCGGAGTTCTCCCGCCGCTTCAGGGCTGTTTTCGATCACCCTCCTGAGGGTAAAGCGGCGGAGGAGCGTCTGTTCCACCTCCGACAGGGGAAGAGGAGCGCACAGGAGTTCGCCCTGGATTTCCGGACTCTAGCGGCGGATGCGGGGTGGAATGAGAGGGCCCTCATCGACCACTATCAGTGTAGCCTGCGTGAGGACGTTCGTCGAGAGCTGGCCTGCAGGGACACCAATCTGTCCTTCGACCAGCTGGTGGACATGTCCATCCGTCTGGATACCCTGCTGGCCACCCGCGGACGTCCCGAGTTGGGGCCGTCCATTCCATCCCCCAGTACCTCCGAGCCGAGCCCTATGGAGCTCGGGGGTGCTGGCGCTAAAGAGAGAAGGAGAGAGAACCCGAGGGGGGCCGTCCCCTGCACCAACTGTGGCCGTGGAGGACACACTGCGGCTAGGTGCTGGGGAGGGTCTCCAGGGAATCGGGGCAACAGGTCGCGCACTGGGGAGTCATTTCAGGTGAGTAGGCGCCCCACTCACCCAGAGCTCTCTGTTGTTCACTTGTGTATACATGTGGTATTTCCTCAGGTTGCATCTCATTCCCAGCATAAGGCGCTAGTCGATTCAGGCGCAGCTGGGAATTTTATTGATCGGAAATGTTGTACTAAGTTAGGGATTTCCCTCCTGCCCGTTGATGCACCCTTCCCTGTC